TTAGCTTGTAAGAAAATAACGGGCAGTCAGACTCTACAATTAGAGTGAGGGCATCGGCAGACGAAATCCTGAGAAGGAGCACGTCCAGCTCAACATGGAGAGAAGTGGACCTGCTCTCCGACTGACGGATTCGACATTGAGGCTCCATAGAGAGCCTCCACGCCACGCTCAGATATGCTACTAGAACCACGCGAGCGCACGCTTAGCACGGCTCTGGCTTAGGCAGTTCCTTGTTATGCTCATTGTATGCTTAATTGCCCTGAAACTTATAGGCAGGAATCCGAGTGGAAGAGCTAATAAACCTACGCAGTAAACCACACACAGCTTGGAACCCGAAGCTCGAACTCCCAGCCCGAGCCGTGCGCGGTGGCCGAGAGGAGGGGTAAGCAGGACGGTGGCGCCTCATGAAGCGAGCACGAGTCTGGTGAACAGAAGCGACATGGAGCATACTGTTCGAGAGCGCCGCGCCACACATCAGGGCATGACCTGGGTCGGCGCAAAGCAAGGTGGATGCAGTTCTACCGCACACCATATGGAACGCGGCAGACCACACTGGCAAAGAAAACCGTCCTCCACGGGAGCCTTTAATGTCGGGAACGCGCAAACATAAATTAGCGATCCGAAGATTTGGCGCGCGGTCGCCCAACCCATGGATCGGGGGAGGTGCTCTCCCCAAAATGCGGCCGGCGCCGCCTCGCTCGGCGACGGACATCCGTGATTTCCCATGGAAGCGGGCCCCGTCGCTAATCCACGCCCCCTTGATCCCTGTTTGCGATCGCCTGACATACGTGCGAGGCATGGATTTATCCATATCCACCGCCTGGGAACTCACGTCCTGGTGCCCAGGCGGGCGGCGGATATGGATACAGCTTGGCCCCTGCAGACAGGTGCGAAAGTTTCCTTAAATTGGGCACGCGCTATTTTTCAGCGAACCGCATCACTTGGCGAGGCGGTCTCCCTGGCGGCGGCCCAGGTCCTTTACCCTGGACGGCAGCTCGCGGCACAGGCCGTCGACGTCGCAGGCGCTGTTGATCTGCGCCGCGCAGGCCTTCAGCCGGGCGCGGTACGCCTCCTCCCAGCACCGCTTCGGGAGCGTTTTCGGGAGCATGTCCCGCATCCACGACACCGCGGTCTCGTGGAACATGACCTCCTGAAGCTGGCCAGGCTGCACAGAGGCGTCCGCAGGAAAAAATGCCCTCAGGTTGTGGCGCCTCAACGCCCCGCGGTACTCCTCGGTGATTGCCCCTGACCCGGCGTTGTAGAAGCCGTTCCCACGGTCCGCGAAGAGCACGCGAGGCTGCCGGCCGCCCCCGGGAAAACGCACATTCCGAGCAGATCGCAGCTTCGCCGCCACGATCTCGGCCCCCAGCGGGGTCTCCCCAGGGAAATCGCCAGGCAGCGGCTCGATGTGGAGCTTCCCGCGCGCGAGGGCCGGGGCCCACCACACCCGCACCGCGTCAGAGCTATTCAACTTGAGGTGGCGTTTGGGGCCGCGGAGGTTCTGCGATTGCGCCTGAGAGCCTTTGCTCATCCATCCTTTTTTCCCCTTTCGCGCAAGCGCCATGTCTTGCGCCTTCTTCTGAGTCCGAGGGAGGACAGAGTTGCAGAGGTCGCACCGCACGAGATTGTCGTAGCACCACTGCGGCCTGTGCGGCAGAGATATCACGTGCTTCGCGAAATCCCAACGCCTCCGCTCGGACACGTCGCCCAGCGCGTTCCGCGACAGGCGCGGCCTGTTATCCCATGGATCGTCTGCTCCTTCATCAAAGCAAGCCTCCCGGAATACAGTGTAGACTGCCTTCTTGTCCACGGGCTGCTCCGCGTCGGGGTTCAGGACAGCCGTCGGGCACGCGGCCGCGATAGCGGCGTACGTGGGCTCCTCGCCTTGCTTCTTCAGACGCTTCGCCGCCGCCACAATGGCGGTCTGCTTCGGGCCCCGCAGGGCGCGCTTCCGGCCGCGGAGCCCCCCCTCTGCGAATTTCCCAGGGTGCCACTCGGGGTCGGCATCCACGCGCTCGAAGAACTCCTTGATGCCGGAGGGCTTCCCGGCCTTCGTCTTCCTCGCGCGGCTGGCCACGATGGACATCGCGCCGTAGTCGCTCTCCCCCTCCTCGCGCCACACCTCGCGGAGCGCCCGCGCCCGCGCTTGCTCGCGGGCGCAGAGGCCACCCTCCTTGCCCGCGAACCACGCCCTGCTCAGCGCTGCCTGCTCCGACACGTCGCGAGGCCAGGGGGCGCCCGGCGCCGCGCGCGAGAGGCCAGGGCCAAGGCGGCTACGGACAGCGAGGGGGGAGAGAGGAGGGGCGCCAGGGGGGGCGAGGAGGAAGAGAGGAGGGGTGCCAGGAGGAAGAGAGCAGGGGCGCCAGGGGTGCCACGGTTCGCCGCCCCTACTCCTATTTTAATATTAATTAAAAGTGGTGCACGGCGCATCTGCGCCCCTGCGCCCTGGAGCACAGGGGTACCATGACAATTAATATTAATCAATCGTTCCTAGATCCACTCGCGCCCATGCCCGTTCCTGCTCGGCCGCTGACGGCTAGACCCACTCGTAACCATACTTGCTCACACCCACGCACCTTCTTCACGTTGAGACCACGCTAATGCGCAGACGCACTCATGCTCAGATGCACCCGTGATCAGACGCACGCCCATTCACATGCACCCCCCCCGGGCTCACTCACGCACAGACCTACGCAGACCCGGTCCCACTCATATCCAGACTCGTTCGCGTTCGAACCCAGCCCACTCGCTCCGCGCTGGGGCTCACTCGCACTGAGTCACATGGACTCCCCCGGGGTGACACCAGCCGACGGCACGCGACGGCCGCCCCCCAAGTACCTTCAACAACTCGGGAGGCAGCGGCCTCCACTGGGATCCCGACCGCCTGTCCTTGCCGCTGAGGCCGTGGCGTCGGTGATCCCGAGTCGCTGAAGGCCCCGGGAGGGGTCTTCACGTGCCCTCAGCAGATTTCTACTGGAACAAAAAAACGCCACATTAAAAACTCGAACAGGTGCGACAGCGCGCAAGCGCGCTTTCTTTGGGAACGCAGGAACCCTGTGGATTCACAAGGTCCCGTCACTTGCAACGTCGGAACCATCGTGGAACCAGCGTGGAACCAAGCAGGAACCCTATGAATTCATAAGGTTCACTGGCGGCGTCGGAACCATCGTGGAACCAGCATGGAACCAAGCAGGAACCTTGTGAATTCATACGGTTTCGTCACACTTGCGACGTCGGAACCGTCGTGGAACCGTCGTGGAACCGTCGTGGAACCGTTGTGGAACCCTGTGAATTCACAGGGCGACGTCGGAACCGTCGTGGAACCGTCGTGGAACCGTCGTGGAACCCTCTGAATTCATTAAAGTGTCGTCACACTTGCGACGTCGGAACCGTCGTGGAACCGTCGTGGAACCCTATGAATTCATATGGTTTCGTGACATGTCAGCCTCTCGGAACCGTCGTGGAACCGTCGTGGAACCGCCGCGGTTGGGCGCCGGACCGTAGAAAACGACACAGATCGGCGATCGCGGGTTCGCCGCCCCTACTCCTAGTAGAATACAAATTAAAAGTGGCGCACGGCGAATCTGCGCCCCTGCGCCCTGGAGCAGAGGGGGGGCACCTTTAATTAGTATTATAAGACGGCCGCTGGGCCCCCAAATCCCCCCCCGGCCCCCGCCCGAGCGCGGCGGCGGAATCGCGCAGCAGCGCCAGTGGATGCGACGGCCGCTGGGCCCCGAGCCCCCCCCCCCGCCCGCGCCTGGACCCCCGTCTCTTTTTTCTTTCTAGCCGGGATTCTCCCGGCCCCGCTTGTGCTCCGGGCTCGCGCCCGCGGGGGCCTCTCGGCGCCGCGTGGCCCACCTCCTGCGAGACGCGCCAGAGCTGACAGAGGGCGCGGGAGATGACCGCGGGGGCGTCGCCGGCGCTGGGGCCGCCACCCTCGCCTTCCACACGGGCTCTCCGACGAACACCTCCACTGCGTTCGTCTTCATCCAGTTCTTGTCAGCGGCAGAGTAGTCATCGTACGTCCAGTTGTTGGTCGTCAACATAAGTGGTGTCCGCCAGAGCCATATCTCGCATGAAAACTCCTGCGTCGGGCTCTGGCCAAGGATGGCCGCGTCCACGTGCGATTGCAACAACTTCTTATTATCGACGACAAATTCCGGGGATTGCACTTCGTCGAGGAGGATCGCCTTGTGGGTCCTTCGTTGAAAGCAACGCAAATATGGGTGCTCTGCGTGCTGCACATCTACTACGAGCGTCTGCGCGTCCCCGAACAGGCTCCGTGCCAGCCGAGATTTCCCAGTGCAAGAGGGGCCAAAGAGAACCAGAAACTTGCACCATTCCTCCTCTTCCTCGAACTGCAACCTCCATCGCTGGATCTGATCAGGCAGGGGCTTAAAGGGCAGCGCCTTCCTTGCGATTCGCGCCCGCGCCTCCTCCTTCTCGCGCGCGCACTCCTGCGCGCGCTCGTCCACATCTATGGCTGCCACTAAGGCCTGGGCCCTATCGTGCCCGTCCCGGAGCTTCATCGACAGACCCATAAACTGCGCGTGGCCCAGCTTGCGCTGCCTGTACAAGACCATGACCCAGGCGCGCTCCGGAGACCATCCCGTCTCCCAGGGAGGATAATTTGATGCGCTTTCCAAAGTTCCCTGCTTCTTTACCCGTACGTAGAAATGTCCGTGCTGTGTTGCTTTCATCCAGTACCACGGGCCTCGCCCCTCGGTATTCTTGTCCACGCGCGGCTTCACGCCCCTGAAGACCCAGGAGTCCAGAGTCCTGTGGTCCACGCCCTTGCCCCCCCCGCCGTGCCAGGAAAAGTAACAGTGCAAGTGCACGCGGCCAGTATCAGTAGAATGCAGGGACTCCTCCATGGTTGCACTCCAGTACGTGATGCCGATTTCCTTCTTCCGATCCTCTACCCACGACTGGTACGCCTGCCACAACTCCGGGGACGCGACGAAGGCCAAGCAGTTGAAGGTGAGCATGAAGGCTCTGCTTTTCAGCATAAACGCTTTGCCCGCCTGCGCCCAGCACTCTGCGTGTCCAGGGACCCGATCGCGCCCGTCGGGGCCGTCGTCGGCGTCCTCGTCCGCTCCAGGATCTGGTAGCTCGGGAAAGGAGCCGCCGCCGCCACTCTCGATCCACAGGTCCCTTGCCGCGCAGAAATCCGGCGCCCGCTCGGCAGGCACGACGTCACACAATGCCGAGAAGAGGCCAACCACTTCCTGGGCCCGTGGACGGTGAGACAACGTGTCCAGCTCGAACTCCTCAGCCAGGGAGTTCAGCGCCTTCGTGGCCTCGCTTCGCCGCCCTCGCCGCGCAGTCTTGTTATCGGCCATGACTGCCCTGGCCGGCGGCTCGGGGAGACTCCGGCCTGGGCCAAAACAGCTACAGCGCGATCGGGTAGTCAGGGTGCGCGGTAAGGATGCAAGGCCCTTGGCCGTCCAAGGAGAAGCCCATGGAGGGGGACATATGCCCAGATGGACCGCGCGTGGCATCGGTGCAGGGGTGCCCTTCGAAAGCTACTCATCCCTATGATACGGTTTCACTACACGGCTTGGTGCCGCCCGCAAGGCCGGATGCCCCCCCCCCGCGCCAACTTCCGCGCTCGAGATCGGACGCGCTTCACCTCCGCCTGCTTCCACGGCTCCCCCCCGCCGGATTCCACCCACGAGGATGCAGGACCGCAGCCTGACCTCGGCGGCGATCTCCATCGCCGTCTCTTTACCTCCGCCAGCAGCCGCGGCCCCGCGCCGTCTTCCGCCGCCGCGCGTCTTCCCTGGAGGCGAGGCCCTCTCCTGCTCTCCAGGCGGCTCCTTCGGACAGCCATCGCGCCATCGATTTCACATGCATCATCGATTTACCTCCGCCTGCTTCTGGCGCCCGCCAGCCGCCTTCCGCCACGAGGTTGGCTGCGACTCCCACTCAAGTCCAAGCGCGGTCCTTCCAACCAAACGGCGCCGATGCAACCAATCCCTGGACCGCTGTCAGGCGGTTCCCTCCGACAGCCCTCTCGCACGAATCGCGTTCGATGTACCTCCGCCTGCCTCCAGCGCCCGCCCGCCGCCTTCCGCCGCGAGGTTGGGCGCCTCACCCCTCGAGCCGTCGCGTAGCTCTTCAGGCCAAACAGCACCGACGCAGCCAGTCCCTGGACCGCTCCTGGAGCGCGCTCTGCCCAGAATTCCGACACGAATCCAGCTGCAGCGACGAGGGCCCCCCAGGGCGAGCGACGGAAAAACCTCGTGACGTCGCATCGTGGCCTGAGCTGCCCGCGAGCCCGGCGACTCCGCGTCTCCTACCCTTCCCCCCAGCCCTCGCCTCCTCTCCCCTCCGTGCCCGCCCCTCACCAGAAATCAAATTTAAGGAAACAATTCGCACCTGTCTGTGGGGGCCCGAATACGTCCATATCCACCGCCTGCCGAGGTCCCCGAAAATTGATCCTCCTCGCTGTGGTCATACATCAATTCCCGCCTCGGAATATGGAACGCGGCAGACCAAAATGGCAACAAAGAAAGACGTCCTCCAGGGGAGCCTCTCGCGACCCGGGCACGCGGCCTCGAAGCTCCACCAGGGGGGGGGGTCCGCACGCCGCCTGGAATGCGTGCAGAGCGCCAGCGCCCGACGGCCATTACACCGTCGCCCCTCGTCCACGGGACGACACGCGCAGCAGAACAGCACCAGAAATTGTCATCGTCATCGTCATCATCATCGTCGTCATCGTCATCGCCATCGCCATCAAGTGTCATCGTCATCGTTATCGTCATCCTCCTCCCCAATCATGCTCCGCTTCCGCCCCTCCTTGCTGTGCTTGTTTCTCTTGTTCCTCCTCTCTCTTGCTGCTGCTCCTGCAGCTGCTGCTCATGCAGCTGCTGTTCCTGCTGTTGCTCCTCCTCTTTTTCATGCTCTTCCCCCTCCTCTTCCTGCGACTCCTTCTCCGTCCAGCTGCCGCACACCCTTCGCCGCACGGCCCTCCACTGCCAAGCGCACCCGCCAGCCGAGGGGCCCGGCCAGCGCTGGCCTGTGCGACTTTGGCGCTGGCAGGGCTGGTCCTGAGCACCGCCGGCCACTTCCCCGTCGAAACCACTCAGATCCCAGGAGGGAAGGGGGGGTGGGGGGCGAGGAGAAGGGGGCGGGGGAGCAAGACAGGCGCGCTCGCGCCACATCTGACATCCTACTCCTCGCCCCCTTTATCCCTTTTCACTGTGATCAATATTCTTGCATTCGCCAATCTGTACATCGGGCGAGACCTGGACCCCTGAGCGGCATTTGCAGCGCGAGGAGGTCAGGGGCCAGGCGCTTGGGCGAAGGAGCGAAACGGAAAAGGCTGGGCGCCGGAGGGGGAGGAGGAGGAGGATCAGCCAAGGAAGACGACTGGCAAGAGAAATAGGAGGAGGAGGAGGAGGCGGATGAGGAGGAGGGAGAGGAGGAGGGGGAGGAGGAGAAGCAGGAGGAGGAGGAGGAGAAGAAAGAGGAGGAGAAAGAGGAGAAGAAAGAGGA